ATAGATGAAGTGCCCAATTGGTGGAAACTGTGGAATTTGTGTGGGAGGTTGGAGGTTGGCAGGGGCGGAGCGAGGAATTTTGTTAAGTGCGGACAAAATTTAATCAAAGTTGAACTTTTCGGTTATGGATTTAATGATATTACGACAATACTAAAAATGACATAGCGACCACACGAATAAGATAATCATCTTTTTCCTTATTCTAGGATCTGTAGCAAGTTGTACAACATCAAAATTCATTTATTCGATATTTTCTCATCAACATTTTTTACGAAATATTTTCTTTTAAAGGATCTCTATTGGCACTTCACATTAAAATAAACCACAAGTGATAATTAAATACTAATTGATAGAAAAAATAACTACTAATTTTTACAAATTGGTAGAATACCAGAAAATCATCACTAATTGTTTAACTAATTGACGAAAATCAAGATTTCAAGAATCCATCACATATTACCAATATCAACATTCACACAATTAAAATTCCTAATATTAAATAGAAAATCTCCAATATTAAACAAAAAAATCACATGATCAATAAAGTTTTTGCTGCAAATTTGAGGGCCAAAGAAAATGTGGGTTTTAGGAAAAAAATGAACTTTGAAAATATTTCAAAACGATGGCAGATTAAAAAATAAAAAATTAATTTCTTGCCAAGGGGAAAGAGTTAGAAAATGTCACCGTACACTTAGAGTTGGGCTAAATTAGTCTATGGGCCAGTTTATAAATGAATGAAAACCCAATAAAGAAAAAAATTGGATTGAGTATGGGCCTGGGCCAATAGCTTTGACTGTGGAGGTTGGATCACATCTCACGTAATAATAAAAGTCTTTGATTTGGCTCTTTGACTTCCTTAATTAAAATAATTATTTTTTATTTATTTTAATCATTTTTGGAATAATTTAATGAGTCAAATAGTTAGTATAATTTGATCGTTTTTCAACAATCCACTATTAAGAACCCATTATCCACATTCCATTAAAATTGCAAATCTTTCTGGATCATGGTGGAGGCAGTTATATCTATTCTGCCTATAAAAACACTCATATGATTTTGGAAAAATAACATAAAAAAAACAAAATCATAATTTTCATATTCTGTAATTTTTATGCTTGAGTTTTACATATTTTTATAGAGTATACTTGAGAGTTTTGAAATCATTTGTGATTGCTGTACAAATGGTTTGTTTGATTGTTGTATCTTAGGAGTGAATGTCCACAGATGTCGCAACAATTATCAATGAGCAATTTCACTTTAAGATATCGTGTTGTCATGAAATTCGAATCAGTTGATAAGTTTTATTTCTGTATTTTACTGTTCTGCAAGTTTGTTGCAACTAGTTATTTATCAACATTTTTTTCTTAGGCTTATCATGATATCCCATGGTGATCATTGATGATATCTAAAAATGATATTTTGGGAAAATTTGGGAGAAATAGTTTAGACTTTCGAGAATTGCAGTTCTTTTCCTTGGCATTACAAAATAAATGTGTATCAATAATAATTAAAATGGATTAGCATAAAAACTTGCAAGATCCCTGTCAGATTTTGTATTTTGTTTGAAAGGATCTCTTGTTTGTTAATGGAGAAAGAAACAGCATTACTATCTAGCCAAATCCATTGGCCAAAAGATTAGAGGTAGAAAAATTAAAAAAGAAGTTTTTCATTACACATTTCTAGAAGCAAAGACATACTTTTGGCTATTTCGACCTCTCTTTTTTATTACACATAACACAGCTTCGAAGGTTATGGACTAAGACACTATTCGTTTCTGCATTCTAAGTTAAATTGTTCTACTAATTAATCTTATCGACTTTGTTTGATAGGTATATGCGGAGAATGGAACTTTGGTAAGGGCTTATGTTCCCCTCCGATTTGCAAGACTTCTCACCCCAATGAGGCAGATTTGCATGTCGTAACTTCCAAAAAGGTTGGATTATTATTCAAGACCATGTCCCTCGTTGCTTGATGCTTAAAGGACTGTAGAAGCATGTGTAATCAAAGCTGAATCGACAGTCTTTGGTATGGTAATTGCTCCCATTTGTATATGTAGTAACATTCTAGTACTGTGTACTTTATATGTGTGTTATTTGTTACAAAATGTTGCGGTGATTTAGTTATGGATGAGTTGAATTACAATTTGTATTATCTGGTTCTGTTTTATGTAAATAGTACACTTCACATCTCGAGATTTGGAGAAGAAATTGCAATTTGTGGAGACGAAGTTTTAAGAGAAAATTACTTGGAATGTCCACTTTCACTTTTCCATCTGCAAAAATGTTCACTTTCACAAATCCTTACAAAAATGTCCATTTTGAAGTATTTTGTACCAAAATACCCTTGTAAACAATTTATGTTTTCATACAAAGACAAGAAATGAACATTTTTGCAAAAGATTTATTGGCCAATAAATTTTTGATACATAATCCGCCATATTTATTTTAAAAGTGTACATGTCAAATTACAATTAATGCTATTTTTCTCATTGACACAGAAACGTCGATAATTATATTTCAAGTGAAGAGAAATGTTATGTTAGGAAATGGGATTCAAATATCGAGAATGATATTTGAAATATCGATAACATCATTTTAATGTACCTTCTCATAAAAGTTACTTTTCGAAATTCGCAACAAATTGAAAAAATAAATAAATTGCTTCTTTTTTTAATTAAAGGGTATAATAGACAATTTAATGCTTAATTTAAAAAGTGGACATTTTTCAATTCACATCCATGAAATTAGACATTTTTTAAAAATACCCCAAGTTTTAATTGGATTGGATATGATACTCTTCTCTAAAACAGATTTTATTGATAAGTTTAACATCAAAATTCAGAATAGTAATTTTGTGGGTAGAATATACATTTGATCATTAAAGTTGCAGCAAGTTTTCAAATTAGTCACTAAAGTAATTTATTTTGAATCAATTGCGAAGGTTACATTTTAGTTTCAAATTATTTTTATAGTGACTTAGAATATCCTAAAGAGACTATTTATAAAGAACATTTTATATATTCTATCGAGTATTTTTAAATTTAGAGAGTCAAAATTTTGAACACTCAAATAGTGATCTTTTTTGTTCTTTATTTTGCTTTAAAAAAAATCTATATTAATTTCTTTTCATATTTTAATATAATATAATTTTTTATATATTAATGATCAATAAGTTTGAATGTATATTGAATAATTTAAAAAGTATACTATTGAAATTTGTGAATCAATAAATGTAATCATTATACATTAAGAATAGAAAATAAGGCTCCGTTTGATTGCAAGAATGAAATTTGGGTGGAAAGATTACGAATTCCAGGGAATTGAATTACATAGAACTTGCTTTTTTGGAAATTGTCAATTAAATATGTTTGATTGAGAAAATGTTGAAATTTTCTATTTTTTGGTGTTCGTTTGACTTTGTTTTTCACGAAAATTATCAATTAAAGAGATAAAATTTGTTACAATTGGGGATAAAATTTGTTTCAATTGTCAAAAAAAAAAATCTGAAAATCCAATTTCTACCAAAATGAAAGGAAACCAATTCCTTAAAAACCTTGAAAAAGGAGTCACGTGGGGGGTTGGATGGAAAATCAATTCTATGAAAAATTTTGCCCTTCAAACATACCATTTTCGTGAAAAATGAAAAATGAATTTTTTTTATGAAAAATAGAGCCCATCAAACAGGTCCCAAGTTTAAATTTGAAGGGTCAAATTTATTCTCTATTTTAAAAAATTAGAATAGCGAGTCTTTAAAATAGTAGGGACCTGTTTGACAGCACTATTTTCCATGGAAAAAGCCCAATTTCTATTGTTTGATAATCAAAATTTTCCATGGAATTACTTTTCCACCTTTCCATCTCCTGACGGCATTTTTCAAGTTTTGAAGGAATTTCAATTCCTTTTGTTTTGGTGAGAATTGGATTTTTTAGGTTATTATTATTTTTTTTGGGCAATGAAAACAAATTCTATCCACCATTGTAAAAAAAATTTATTTATTTAATTGACAATTTTCATAAAAAATAATGCTAAACAAACGCCAAAAAGATCCAAAATTGCAACATTTTTCAGATAAAAAATTATAGCAATCAAATACATTTAATTGATAAACATATTAGGGCAATAGTGCGGATCGATAAACATGGATTGCCCAGTTTCAGAGGTTCGTAATTTAGGCTATTCTTTATTGTATAGGAAAGTAATACTTCCTCATTTATTACTTTCATTTATTATATTCATTTGTCGCATCACTGCTTTTTGGAGGTCAGGTTCATGCCCCCCTCCTTCCGTGTATTCTTGATTTTTATGAAATAAATATGGTTGGGGAACCCTTAACCCCCATCGACCTTCCTTGGTGGACCCTAAAAAGTCACTAAGGATGTGTGGATGTCTTTACCAACAAAAAAAAAAAAAAAAAATTGATAATTCCCAGAAAACAAATTTTAGGTAATTTAGTTCCTTGAAATTCGTTTTATTTTTACCCAAATTTCATTTTTGCAGATCCTAAGTATTTACAAAAACATTCCTGCAATGCCGCTTAGAAAGATACAAAAATGAAAAAAAATAATAAGAAATAAAACCCAGGAAGAAAGACAAAACGACGTCGACTAGGAAAGTCTCAAATTTACAAATCAATACCCCAATACAACAGATCTGCGTTCCTATATACATACACCTGCGATATATGTAATATGTATGTGTAAATACACGCACACATTAATATATGGCGAAGCAATCGTCGACGGGATTGATTGCAGTTCAGAAAAGATGGCCATTGATATTAATTCTGCTATGCTTCACCGCTATTGTATTTTTCATCAGAGCCTCTTTTTATTCTTGCAATTCTCAAAATTACATTGAGAACGGTAAAATCAATTCTGAAATGCACTCATTTCAATCTTCGAGAACCGGAAAGGGAAGTGCAGGAAGTGAAAATCCACTCAGTTTCATGAAATCAAAGCTTGTTCTCTTAGTCTCCCATGAGCTCTCCCTCTCCGGTACAGCTCCGCTACATCTTAACTTTACTCGCTTCTATTTTTATTTAGTTCTAATAGTGAGTTGATTGGAAGTATAATTAATGTGACTGTTAGGAAAAAATTAATTAATTTTTGGCAAACTTTTCAACAAATTTTTCATAGTTCGGTAGTAGGGAATATTAGATAAATGAAGGTAAAAAATGATGGCAATGTGCAGAGCCATGTGTTCTGAATTGATAGATTTATGCGTGTTGATGATACAAATGGGATCAACACGATCCTACTCACCTAGCAACAAGACTCACTAATTTGGATGCTCAAATAGGACTTGAGACGGAGATATTTCAATTGCACGCCTCCTTCAAATGCGGGGTATTAATAGATTTTCTCTCCAAACTTTGGGTAATTTGGTCCCTATGAGAGAATGACAGATGATGGCTCCTTATTGACTATCTTCTAACTAATTCGGTTAAGAATCATTG